CCTGCTCATGGATTGGCAGAATAAACATTATTAAAATGGCCATCCTACCAAAAGCAATATACAGATTCAATGCTATTCCAATCAAAATTTCAATGTCATTCTTCAAAGAAATAGAAAAATTATTGATGAAATTCATATGGAATCACCAAAAACCCCGAATGCCCAAAGCTCTCCTGAAAAAAAAAAAAGAAGGGAACGGAGGCATCACACTCCCAGACTTCAAATTATACTACAAAGCCATAATCATCAAAACTGCATGTAATTGGCACAAGAACAGACACACAGACCAATGGAATTGAATAGAAAATCCAGAAATAAACCCACAGATTTATGGTTAACTAATCTTCAACAAAGGAGCAAAGAATATGCATTGGAGCAAAGAAAGTTTGTTCAATAAATGGTGCTGGGAAAACTGGGTCGCTACATGCAAAAGAATGAAGCTTGACTACTACCTCACACCATACACAAAAACCAACTCAAAATGGATTAAAGAACTAGACATAAGACCTGAAACCATAAAATACATAGAAGGAAATATAGGCGAAACACTACGTGATATGCACATCAAAGACATCTTTACAGACACATCACCCAAAGCAGTGATAGTGAAGGCAAAGATCAACAGCTGGGACTACATCAAATTAAAGAGCTTCTGCACAGCAAAAGAGACAATAACAAAAACAAAGAGAAACCCCACCGACTGGGAGAACATTTTGCACACAACCCTAATGATAAAGGACTGATCACAAAAATCTACAAAGAGCTGATGAGACTCAACAACAACAAAGAAAATAATCCAGTCAAAAAATGGGCAGAAGAGCTAAAAAGAAACTTCTCTGAAGAGGAAATGCAAATGGCCAACAGGCATATGAAACAATGTTCAAATTCACTTGTAATCAAGGAAATGCAAATCAAAACTACCATGAGATACCATCTTACACCAGTGAGAATGGCACATATTAAAAAAACTAGCAACAACAAATGTTGGCGAGGTTGTGGAGAAAAAGGAACTCTTCTGCACTGTTGGTGGGAGTGCAAACTGGTCCAACCACTATGGAGAGCTGTGTGGAGATTTCTGGACCTACTAAACATAGAGCTTCCATATGATCCAGCAATTCCACTCCTAGGTATTTACCCAAAGGACACAGAAACATCAATTCCAAAGAGCACCTGCACCCCTGTGTTTATAGCAGCACTATTTACAATAGCTAAGCTTTGGAAACAACCCAAATGCCCAAAAATAGATGACTGGATCAAGAAGATGTGCTACATATACACCATGGAATATTACTCAGCATTCAAAAAAGATAAACACATGCAATTTGCAGCAACATGGATGGAGCTGGAAGGGATCATGCTCAGCGAAATAAGCCAGAAAGAAAAAGAAAAATACCGGATGGTCTTACTCATAGCAGGAATCTAGGGACCAGGAAAAAAGAATAAATAAGGGACCAAGAAAAAGAATAACTATAAGAAAGAAAATTTCAAAATCAACAAACAACTATGAACCAGAGACACTCTATGGAGCCTGGGGAAAGAGGGATTGGGGTCAAAATAAGGGGGTTGTAATTGTATGGGGAATATAAAAATAAAATTTAAGTAAAAAATAAAATAAATAAAATAAAATAACTCATTAAGCTGTATGTTTTGGAGCTTTTGCCTGTACTTGGATCTTATTTTACAATAAAATGGCAAAAAAAAAGAAGTATCTCATATTGAAATGTTCCCTTCATGCCTTAAGTAAGCTCTGCTGATGGATGTGAAGATAACCACAGGCTCAATGAAACGGTTAGAGAAAAAGCAAAGACAAACAAGTCATGATTTCATTAAAAAATAAAAGAAAAAAAGCAAGAGTTTCAAGTCCTATATGAAAGAAGTATTTCTGTGGAATCCTGATGTTGCCTTTCAAAATTGCAAAGAACACTGACTACCCAGGTAGTGGTTTGTTTTTTCAGTCTTGTGTCCTACGATGTGCCATCACTAAGTGTTCCAGGGTAAAAGAAGTTCTGGGTTTGGTGTGCATTCTGTACCACAAGGGCACATTCACCTCCCAAGAAAGTAAGAAGTCCTGCAGTAAGGAGACCTGCTGAACTCTAATCCATTCACTCCTAAGTTGATAGGGGACACTCTCCACTTATCTGCCATCTACCACTTGTTAGCATGCTGTGAAACACAGGCTTTGAGAAGGGCTGAGTAGTGGAAAAGTATAAACTTCTTCATCGGCACCTCTCCCCATCGCTATGGATGCATTTTTTGAGTGGGGAGATAGATCTGCCCCTCACTGGACATAGCATTTTTTGTTACATTAGGTATGAAATGCCTGGGTAGTACTGGTAAGGAGGGTTGAATGAGCAAGGCAGATTCGGAATGCTGATGCGGAGACTCCTGTCATTCTCTAGCCAGGGCATATGTTCCTGCACTCTGCTCCTGAGAGAGGTGCCTGCTGCACACTGAGCCTTGCTCCCCCTGCTTGCAGCAACTCTGGACTTGCATAGTGCCTCTCTACAAGACCACTGGATCATGCAGTGTTGTGCTGGTAAACTGGCTCTCTGAAGACAAAAAGGTTTTTTTTAAAAAAAAGGGGAAGTAAAGAAGGAAGGAAGGGAATAAGGCCCTGATTTATAGTGTTTGCTGAATATTTCCTGTGGTTGATTTCAAGCTAACAATGGTTTAATACTTATCTTGCAAAAATTCTTGATAGTTAACCACTGTCTCTCATGAGCTGGTAGAAGCCTGCTCCAGCATGCCACTTGGATATATCTTTAAGCAAACAGAAACACTGGTCTTCTTTGGAAAAATTATTTTATGGTCCAAATTATTTTATGCACATTGTGAATTTCCATCTCCTCCTTTTTCCCTCTTTGCTTTATTAGGAAGCTGCAAACCATATTTGGGGCCCAGATTTAGCAAGATAAACCAAAAGCATGCATTTTTCTGTTATTATTCATGGTCTTACTTTTTTCTCCTGCTCTTATTTCATCCCAATTTCCTTGCCATCAGACATTTCAGTTTTTTTTTCTTTAATTGAGGTAATGCTGGCTTGCAACACTGTATATGATTTAGAAGTACAGGTTTACACCGCTTCGGATATGACTTACCTACCACACCTGGACCATCACCCAAGCACCCATAATCCTCCATCACAGTCCTTGGGGTCCCCTCCACTCTTTACTCCTATCATCCCTCCCTCTAGTAACCTAAGTTTTATAGACACAATCCAAGGATTTGTTTTGGTTTGGTTTTGTCTGTCCCTCTGCTTTATATTATTATATTCTACTTGAGTGAGTGAAATCATCTGTATTTGTCTTTCTCCTTCTAACTTATTTCTGCTCAATGTAATCCCCTAAAATTCTACCCATGTTGTTGCAAATGGCAAGATTTCTTTTCACAGTTGAATAGTATTCCACTGTGTATATCTGCCACAACTTCTTTATCCCCTTATCCACTGATTGGCATTTAGGTTGCTTCCACATCTTGACTATTGTTCTTCCAACAGGCCAGTTCTTTATTGTCTCTGGCACTTCTCTCAGCTGCCCCCTCTGCTTGGAATGCTACTCCTGCACCTTCTGCTCACTTCATTCCTACTTACACTGTAGGGATTGGCTCAATTCCCAATTCTCCAGGAAGCCCCTCCTGACTGCAGGTTCACCCTAAAAGTGTTCTGTGTGTCTTCTGAGCACTTCCCTGCCAGTGTCTCCATGCAGTCAGGGATCTGTCTATAACATTCAGGCTGTGTGGCCAGGGTACGGCAGACACGCAATCAGGAATGCATACTTTTCCCCAAGACTAGTGGAGTTTCCACAACTAGAATTTTTTTTATAGTCCAAAAAAATTATACTGAAATCTTTTCTTGTAGTCTCTCTATAAACTTAGAATCTGGTTGTTAGTTAAGAAAACAACAGGCTAAAGCAAAAATGCTGAGTTGCTGTAAGTAGGTCAAGGATGAAGTTGATGATCCCATCCCAATGCTGTCCTTCCTGTGATTGCTATCTGGGCATGCGGGTGTGCTGGAAAGGCCGTTGTGCAGCCAGGAGCCCTTCACACCAGAGAGAGGTTCCAGAGTCTGAACCTGCTATTGCCTCATTATTTTAAATGTTAGAAGAGGGTGTAGATCACTTAAGATGAAAAAGGTAATCCTACCAACTCTAAATTGAGGATTCTTATGTGACTACATTGGGAGTAAGGGGGGAAGGGTTATAAGGTATATAAATATCTCCAAGATGCTGATGAAAACTCTGGCTGCTCTTCCCATGAAAAAAAAAAAAAAAGCACTACTGCACAAAATTTTATTGGTTTCAGATATTTCATATCTGAAAAGCAAAGTTATCTGATTTGCCCAGAGATAGAGCAAGAATGGGAAGCCAAATTTCCTTATTCACCTTCTAGTATCCTCTCCCTTACAGTAAAATATTTATTCCATCACAAGTGGCAACAGAGCATAGCGGTTGAAGACACAGATTCTGGATGAATCTGGGGCTTAACTCTCTGCTTCTATAACTATTAGTTGGGGACTTGGAGCAAGTTGTTTAATTTCTGTGCTCCTTGTTCCTCAGTTGTAACACAGGAATAACAATATCAAGCTCCCTGAAAGAATTATATGAAAATACTTTATATGAAAATACCTAGCACTTAGTAAATGTTCAATAAACACTCGTTAATACAACCATAGAAAGCCTACCTCCTCTTCCCCACTAGAACAGAACAGTCATTTTGTGTCTCCTTCTGAACCCCAGAAAGTACCTGATTTAGCTCAGCCAGGACATGGGTACCATCTTAAGAAACAAATGTATCAAATAGGACTGGACAAAAAGCCAGACAAACTCTCCACAGCTACACTGGAGAAAAGGTCCCCTTTGAGATGCAGTTAGCATCCTGTCCACAGGGTGGATGAGATTAGCTATGTGACATCCTACAACAGATGGTGATCAGGACTTTTCCCAAGTTCTCCAAGGTGACCACAAGCCTGATGATGACACTCATAAACCTACAGAAAGTCTGACCTGATGGCAAGCCGAATACCTTCTGCTGTAGATTCCATAGAGAGGGATTTCAGCTCCAAATGAGCAAATCTCGCACCATCCTTCATGTATTACTCTAAGAGGTCAAGGTCACCGTTTGCAGCAATGAAAGCAGAGGACTAGGCTTAGACGGGGCAATTCTGCCTGTCCCCTCCCTCGCTCTTTTAGGGTAAGGAGGTCTCCCTCCTCCCTTAACCCACGGGCCACCCCCCGCTGGGGTCTCAGCGACCGCGATGAGGCTGGAAGAGGGCGCGGGGAGAAGGGGAAGCGGGATCTTTCTCCCGCGTCAGCAGCCCCCGCCAGCCGGTCCCGCGCAGCCTGCGCAGTTCCGCCCGCGCGTCCACGCGCCCGCATCCGCCCCGGGCCGGCTGTGCTGGAGCAGAACGATCGGAGATCGATTTTCAACCCCAGCGGGGCTGTGGCGTCAGCAGGGAGAGAGGTTGTTTTGACTTATAATGCCTGAAGCTCTGTGGCCGAGGGCAGCCACACCCGTGGCGAGGGGACCCGGCCTTTGAGATCTCCCGGTGGAAGGGGACCTCGATGGCGACCCTCGCGCGCCGCCCCTGGGCTTGGGGCCTCGCGTCCCAGTATCTAGACTCGCTGAGAAGTTACTGACAGCTTAAGACCAGAGACACAGGCTGAGCAAAAGAAAGACATAATTGGAATGCAATAATGCTCGGGCCTATAAGAAAGAAAAAATCAAAATCAACAAACAACTATGAACCAGAGACACACTATGGGGGGGGAAGGCGGGAAAAGGAGGGATTGGGGTCAAAATAAGGGGGATCAATTGTATGGGGAATATAAAAATAAAAAAAAAATGGAAATATATATAAAAAAAAAATTCTCGGGCCAGAAGGCATCTCAGAATATGTTCAGTCTAAATCATTAACAGGTAAACAGGTTCAGAGAAAAGAAGCGGCTTGCCAAAATCAATGGCCGGACTCCGCCAGGAGCAGGATGTGAATGTTGATTCTTTTGCTTCATTGAGCTAACTTAGGTAAAAAACGGAAGGCTTTTTACTTTTAATTTTCAGTCCGTAAACTTTTTACAAAACAAAGTAAACCACAATGGAAAGATCCATCTCTCTGGAACATTGCAATATAATGTCCAAAGGATATAGATTTTTAAATTTGGAGTCACCTCCGAAAAGAGGGCTTGTACAAGCTTACCCATTTCAGTTATGGACTGTGAAGTGACAGAAAAGAACACAGACCACGGGTTGTCTACTGCCACAGCAGTTACTACATCTACAAAGGAGCTCACCTTAATAGAAATGCAAATAAACTACACACACACACACACACACACACAAACACACACACACACACACACACTCTAGTAAGAAAGTAGAAAATTTTGCTTCTAGCCTGTGCAGGGATTTTGAGGATGGAGTGGAGGGTGAGGGAAAAGTACAGCCAGACCCAACTGAGAAGGATGTTTAGCAGACATAAAAAATGTATATTTTTAAATAAAAGACTGTTTAGAACAAAATATACACGCAGCTTAGAGTATCTTCATGTTGTAGTGGTTTATTAAATGTTAAGCTTGAACATGTGGTTTTCTATCTCATGGGAAAGGCTGTATAAATCAACTGTGGTAACTCTTAAGAATCTGAGTTGGATCATTGACAGTAAAGTGTTAACTGTCGTGAGCATCTGATAGATATATTTGGGAGGAATGAGGGTGTAGGGGGTGGAAGGAGAGAGGAGAGTCTACTTGGGAGGAAAAGGCATAGGAGGGAGGGTGGCACAGTGGGGGGTCCTGGTCCCCTCTTAGTTTCCCCTCTCAACTTAGTCCTTTATTTAGTTCAGTTCTTGCTAAAACAAATATAATGAGGATAACCCTTCCCCTCATTGGGTTACTGTTTTAACACAAACAAAATTGTCTCATCAGTCCAATAAACAAATGCAGCTCCTGCCCTGTTTTATTTAGGCACTTTTTCTTTTCTAAGAAACCAGCTCTCAGTCCTTTCTGTTTGAGGGACTCCTGATTCTAGCCTGAGATAGGTGGGGCTATGTAAAAAAAAAACACAAGGGGTGTTTTTCTCTGATCTAACAACACTATTTCCAACCGCAAATAATGGAGCTCCATGTCTAACAAGTCAGTATTGGCGTGAAAAGATGGTATAATCTTAGAACTGAAGGTTGTACAGTCCTTAAAAATATAATAAAAAATATAATAAAACAAACTTATGGAACTTCTACAGTGAAAACAATTTTTTTAAAAAATATGAATAGATGTAGGAAGAAAAATGGAGCATTACTAAACACCTGCTGAGCTAGACAGGAAAGAGATTACTAGTGTTAGCCCCCAAGGTGCTGAAAACATGCAACATCAACAACAAAATTTCATGAGATGCAGGGGGATTAAGTGACTGGTTCAAAACAGGCACACCACAGAGATACTGTGGTTTTGTTTCAGATAACTGCAAAAAAGGGAGTAGCTCAATAACAAGAATCACATGATTTTTTTTGGTTCCTATTGCATATAAAAGTTATGTTTATACTATACTGTAATCTATTTCGTGTGCAATGTACATGTACACTGTACATACCTTAATTTAAAAATACGTTATTGCTAAGGATTGCTAACCATTATCTGAACTTTCAGGGAGTTGTAATCTTTTTCCTGGGGGGAGGATGGGTGACTTGCCTAGATGTTGATGACTGCTGACTATTAGTGAGGTTTGCTGAAATTTGGAGTGGTTTGGCAATTTCTGAAAATAAAACAACAATGAAGTTTGTCTAATCTATTGACTCTTGTTTTCACAAAATATTTTTCTACAGTGGGTAATATTGTCTGATGGCATTTTACCCACAGCAGAACTTCTTTCAAAATTGGAGTGAGTCTTCTCCAACCCTGCCACTGATTTATCAATTAAGTTTATGTAATATTCTCAATTACATAACAAGTTCTCTTGTTATTTCTACCACATCTCTAGTTACTTCCTCCACTGAAGTCTTGAACTCCTTAATCATCCACGAGGGTTGGAATCAACTTCTTCCAAACTCCTATTAATGTTGGTATTTTATGAATCATGAATGTTTTTAATGGAATTTAGAATGATGAATCCTTCCCAGAAGGTTTTTAATTTTACTTTGCCCCAATCTATCAGAGGAAGCACTATCTATGGCAGCTATAGCCTTATGAAATGTATTTCTCAAATCATAAGACCTGAAAGTTGAAATGACTCCTTTATCCATGGCTGCAGAGTGCATGTTGTGTTAGCAAACATGAAAATGAATCTCCTATGCATCATGAAGTTTTTGGGTGATCATGTGCATGGTCAATAAGAAGCAGTATTTTGAATAGGATCTTTCTTTTCAAAGAAATAAATCTCAGTAGTGGGGCTTAAAATAGTCAGTAAACTATGCTGTAAATAGGTTTGCTGTCACCCAGGCTTGATTATTACAACACTAGCAGAGTAGATTTAGCATCATTCTTGAAAATCCTAGGATTTTCAAAAGCAAAAAATGAGCATTGGCACATTATCAAAAAACAAGCAACAACAAATGTTGGCGAGGATGCGGTGAAAAAGGAACTCTCCTACATTGCTGGTAGGAGTGCAAACTGGTCCAACCACTGTGGAAAGCTGTCTGGAGCTACTAAAAATGGAGCTACCATACGATCTGGCAATTCCACTACTAGGGATCTACACAAAGGACACAAAAACAGTGATTCAAAAGAGCACCTGTACACCTATGTTTATTGCAGCACTATTTACAATAGGTAAAACAATCCAAATTGGAAACAACCCAAATGCCCAAAAATGGATGACTGGATCAAGATGATGTGGTAAATATATATATACAATGGAATATTATTCAACAATCAAAAAAGATAAACTCATGCCATTCGCAGCAACGTGGATGGAGCTAGAAGGAATTATGCTCAATGAAAAAAACCAGAAGGAAAAAGAAAAATATCAGATAGTTTCACTTATAACAGGAATATAGGGGAATCAAATAAGACATCAGTGTAAAAAAAATAATAATAACAGTACAAAACACAACAAAGCAAAAACAGACAACTATAAACCAGAGACATACTGCAGGGGAGGAGGAGGGAGAGGGGTGAGAGGGAGGGAGTGAGGAGCACAGGGGACTGTGGTGATGGTGCATGGGTGCCTTGGGGAAGGAAATTCTAGGGGGACTCAATCTGAGGGGGTCGGGGGAAGCAAATATTGTCTAAAAAATGTAAAAAAATGATAAATGTTAAAATAAAATTAAAAAAGAGAAAAAAATGAGCATTGGCTTGAACATAGTCGCCAGCTGTATTAGTTCCTAATGAAAGAGTCAGCCTGTCCTTTGAAACTTTCAAGTCAGGCTTTGACTTCTCTCTAGTGCAAACATCCTAGACAGCATCTTCCAATGGAAGGCTGTTTCATCTACACTTAAACTGTGTTGTTTGGTGTAGCTACCGTCATAAATGATCTTAGTTAGATCTTCTGGATAAGTTTATGGATATGAAGGCAAAGGCTGTTGGGTTCACTGTTATATCTCCTGTGGATGGCACAATGTCTCATATATAGTACACAATAAAAGGAATTTGAATGAATGCAAATAAAAATGTTCCAAATGATGAAATTTTATTTATGCTATATATGAGTAAGGGTAGCTCATTGTTGATGGGGTGCTCTTTCATGTACCAAAAATCACCAACAGAGTATACACTGATATCTTTCTAACTTATAGTATCTTATAATTCTAATCTTTCATTAATAATACCAAAATCAGTGGCCTCCCCTGGTGGTGCAGCGGTTGAGTGTTGGGCTGCAAAGTTGCCAGCAACCTCTGCAGCACTGGTTCGATCCCCAGCAGCTGGCGAGGGTCCCACATGGTGCGCAGACCTCTCCTGCCGCACCTGCTACTCCCCTCAGCAGTGTATTTTGTCAGTCTGCCTGTTGTGTTCCCCGGTCTGGCTCTGGTGAATTCTCTCACCCTCCCATGCTTCTGACTGTACCTAGTGCTGGTATAAATAAAATAAATAAATCTTTTAAAAAAAATACCAAAAGCAACAGATAACATTTACTGAGCAATTTTTAGATGCCAGGCTGTTGTGGTGCCTAAAATTTAGTCCTCTAACCACTTACTAGGATGATATAGTTATTATTTCCACTTTTACAGATAACTATAA